CACTGCCTATTGATTCAACACTGCCTATTGACTCAATACTGCCCATAGACTCAACACTGTCCATAGATTCAGCACTGCCCATAGACTCGGCACTGCCCATAGACTCAACACTGCCCATAGACTCAGCACTGCCCATAGACTCAACACTGCCCATAGACTCAGCACTGCCCATAGACTCAACACTGCCCATAGACTCCACACTGCACCTCCGATTAAGTTCAACGTACAGATGTACATTAACCTAAACAAAATACTACGCGCCATCAGCTTCGTGCACAACGGACAATGATTCCCGTTGTGTTATTCTAAAACCAGAGTGATGAAACATTTAAACAACGTTCAGGCTTTTTCCGGCAATAATATTACGTACGTATGTTGAACTTCTTTAACACCGTACGTAGCCAAACACGCTAATCGGAGGTGCGAGTGAAGGACGACAAACTAACACGCACACAAAAGCACAACAATTGTGGGCGTTTAGATGTTGCAACGCCAAATAGACACACCTATTGCGAGGAATCGTCAAGTCTGCATTAACCACACATCGTGCTCGTGGTAAAACGTGAAAGATAAAAGACACGCTTTGATTTAATAATCAGAAGAATAATAACGCGTGCATTGTCCTTGAAACTGATTGGCCTCTGCACCCGAGACGGGGCCTCCTTCATGGCCTCGTCCTCTGCACCGGCGTTAGACCGGAGGTCAATGGCACACAGTGAAACAGCGCAAAAGGGGGGGGCAGTGAGAATGTCGGAGCATTGATTGATCCGGTTGGGCAGTTCATAAGAGGGTCCCGTAGACGTGGAGTCAAGTCTCCATGTTGGCAGGACATTGGAAAATTGCCGCCGCTTTCACTAAATTGGGTAAAAGCTGCTTGTGGTTGTTGTTCAGACTGTTGTCCTTCCCCCCCCCCGACACCTCCGACTTTAGGCACGGTCGACTTAGTGCGGTGCTGCGAAAGAAGCTGAACGTTCATGCACGAACATAGACTCTCACAGAAACACATAGGCTCTCACGGAGACCCATAGGGTCACACAGAGACCCATAGACTCACACAGAGACCCATGGACTCGCACAGAGACCCATAGACTCGCACAGAGACCTATAGAATCGCACAGAGACCCATAGACTATCAGAGACCCATAGACATGCACAGAGACCTATAGAATCGCAGAGACCCGTAGACACACACAGAGACCCATAGACACACACACAGAGACCCGTAGACACACACAGAGACCCATAGACAAACACACAGAGACCCGTAGACACACACAGAGACCCGTAGACACACACAGAGACCCGTAGACACACACAGAGACCCATAGACACACACACAGAGACCCGTGGACTCACACGGAGACCTGTAGACACACACAGAGACCCATGGACTCACACAGAGACCCATGGACTCACACAGATACCCATAGACTCACACAGAGACCCATAGACACACACATAGAGACCCGTAGACACACACAGAGACCCATAGACACACACACAGAGACCTGTAGACACACACAGAGACCCGTAGACACACACAGAGACCCGTAGACACACACAGAGACCCATGGACTCACACAGATACCCATAGACTCACACAGAGACCCGTAGACACACACACAGAGACCCGTAGACACACACAGAGACCCGTAGACACACACAGAGACCCGTAGACACACACAGAGACCCGTAGACACACACAGAGACCCGTAGACACACACAGAGACCCGTAGACACACACAGAGACCCGTAGACACACACACAGAGACCCGTAGACACACACACAGAGACCCATGGACTCACACAGAGACCTGTAGACACACACAGAGACCCATGGACTCACACAGAGACCTGTAGACACACACAGAGACCCGTAGACACACACAGAGACCCGTAGACACACACAGAGACCCGTAGACACACACAGAGACCCGTAGACACACACACAGAGACCCGTAGACACACACACAGAGACCCATGGACTCGCACAGAGACCTGTAGACACACACAGAGACCCATGGACTCACACAGAGACCTGTAGACACACACAGAGACCCATGGACTCACACAGATACCCATAGACTCACACAGAGACCCATAGACACACACACAGAGACCCGTAGACACACACAGAGACCCATAGACTCGCACAGAGACCTATAGAATCGCACAGAGACCCATAGACTATCAGAGACCCATAGACACACACACAGAGACCCGTAGACACACACAGAGACCCACAGACTCACAGATACCCACAGACACACACAGAGACCCATAGACTCAGAACTGCTTTATGTGTTTAGTCTGTTGCCCTTTCCACCCGCAGCTCCGATTTTGGGCACGGCCGGCTTCGTACGGTGGTGCGAAAGAAGTTCAACGTACATGCACGTACATAGACTCGCGCGGAGATCCTTAGACCCACCACCACCCGACACAGCCAATTAGATGAGGTTTTCTGGGCTGAAGTAGTCACTAATTGGTACGTTTTTGTTTAAGTGACAAACCTTAATAATGTTATTGTGGTCGGGTGGCGGCGGCGGTGTTAACGACACACACTTATATATTTACGCGATCACGCCTAAAAAAAACCACTATCATGGACGTTACTCCACGTAGCAATCATCGCCCCCTACCGGCAGACCATTGCCCATCGACGAGCCGGGCGTTAAGCCACCTTGTTGCCGCACAGGGACAGCTGCCCAGTAGGGGGGGGGGTTTGGGTGGTGACGCTTGTGCTCAGAAACGTTTCGCTACGCGATACATAGAGGTGAGAGAGAGGAGAGGGGAGGGAGAGAGTCAACGCATAAGTATGAATCGGTGGTGGTGGGGGGGGTTGCGTATGAGCAGGTCTGCGTACTCTGAGATCTTACTGCATCGTACCGTGTCAACCTGTACGGTTTAGCCCGTATTCTTGTGCAGGGAAATTGAGTTTTCTGGTCCATACGGCGTGCAGCCGTTTCAATGCGGGCAACACAACAAAATCACACGGCCAAAAAAAAAAGTTGCTTAACCCTTTGTAATGTTCCGTGTTTATTGTTGTACGTTTGCAACACGAGTGTGTGCATCCACATATCAAGCAAGCGGCGGCAGCATCGGCATGCAAGATCACAGACGGTAGCACGATGAACAGCACCACTGACACCAATTATCAACATTAATACATTTTAGTTTCGTAACATAATTTGTGTCTTTGTGTGTCTCCCTCGTGATGGGACTTTGTGGGATGAACGTTCAGATTTATAACGTCACAGAGTGACCAATGAGGTCTGAATTGGTCTGTAATAAGGTAGGCACTGATAAAGGGTTGACAGGTATGTTGTAGTGTACATCAGGGGTCCCCAACCCCCGGGCCACGGACCGGTACCGGTACCGGTCCGTGGCCTGTTAGGAACCGAGCCGCACAGCAGCAGGAGGTGAGTGCGGTGAGTCCGCGCGTGTACACACTCTACACACCGCATAGTGGTGAGCGGTGAGTCTGCGCGTGGAACCCGCCCCCATTGTTTTATTTACCCCTTGCGTCCGCGCCTCTTTCCCGCACTGCGCACTCGTCTCAGTCACAGTTTTGGTAAGTCCACAAGCTCTAACCCCTAGTAGCCAAAATGAGTAAAAAACAAACATCGCTGCATGGAGAGCTTCTTTGAAAATGATGAACCCCCTCCGTGAAAAATTGTCTTCCACGAAACCGGTCCCTGGTGCCAAAAAGGTTGGGGACCGCTGGTGTATCGCATAGACGTTGAGATGTTTAATGGCACGGGGGTGACTAAAAAGGCCTGAATTGGTCTGTAACACGGTAGGCACTGATAAGGGTTCATACTCTTAGGCTTTTTCGGTAAAGTCACGTAGGTAAAAAATAAAAAATAAAATTAATAGAAGTAATAAAATAATAAGTCACGACGTTTCGGAGGCAACACAAGTCTTGTGTTACCTACGTGACTTTACCAAAAAAGCCTAAGAGTATGAATCCTGGCAGTCACGAAAGCTTCAAATCTAGAATCACTGATCAGGGGTTGTGACAGGTATGTAGTATTGAGGGGGGGTGGGTGGGCACTACTGTGCGTCGTCGGCCTTTGGTGTGGTCTGGGGGACTTTTCTTGCCTCTCGTGTTGCCGCCTTGCCCCAAGGGTTTGGGGGCATTTGTGCACGTGCACGATTTGAACTTGTATATTTAAGTCCGCTTTGAAAATCCATCCCTTTAAAGTGGGTGGCCCTTCCCTCTTTAGTTTGGTCGGTTGCCCCCGGTGCTGTTTTTGTTTCCTGCTTTCTATGCATTGCACACTGGGATCCTCGGATAGAATGCCGCATTGTTCATTTGAATTATTATAATAATAATTATACTCTAGTTTACGTATTTATTTTTTGAGTGACTTGCTTACCGTCCCTATGCTTTGCACTCCGCGTCGTGGTTTTCTGTATTGTTCTGTGTTGTCGTTATAACTTGCGGCCCTTCCCCCCCCCCCCCCCCAATACTGGGCCATCTGTGACAAAGAGCTTCATAGCTCATCGAATTTCTCCAGGATAAATAAATAATATGATTTGGCCATTGCGAATGATAGGGTGTCATCATATAGCGGGAACGCAAAAATACTCATCGACGCATGATGTTGATTCTAAAATGTGGACGGGGAAAAAAACAGGAGGAGGACCCGGAGAAAAATCTACACGACCACGGGGAGAGAGAGAGAGAGACACGCTAACTCCAAATAGACCGCAATCATTGTCAGTGTCATGATTGAAACCACAGACCTCCTCTATACCAGGCGAGGTAGTTAACATTTCAGAGCCACCATGATGATGATGATGATGTGATAGAGAGACACGTAAACTTCAAATCTACAGCAGGTGTCAGGGTCGGGATCAAAACCACAGACCTCCTGTATACCAGGCGGGGCGGGTAACATCTCCTAGTCACCACGATATGGGGTTGGCAGGGGGTGGGGAAGCCGGTTGTGTTTTTAACGAGAGCGCCCCTCTCCTCTCGTTGGTTGTTCACCCAGGAGCTCGGCGGAGGCCAACAAGGAGGCGCCCAAGGGCCTGCCGAAGATGGAGGAGCGGCCGGAGGACCGGCTCATCCGAGAAAAGCTCAAGAGCACCTGCATGCCGTCGTGGAAGCACGAGTGGCTCGAGAAGAAGGGCAAGAGGGGGCCCATGGTGAGACCGAGACGGAGAGAGACAGAGAGAGATACTGGAGACGTTGGCGTCGCTAATTAAAAAATATATTTTGTTGTATATAAATGTTTGTTACATTTTATATTCCCCTCCACCCGACGGAAGGTTCCCCACAGGGTGGGTACCGAGGATTCCTCCCCCCCCCCCCCCTCCACCTATGCATGGTGAGAGAGTGGGTGAGCGGGAGATCGAGAGATCGGGCGAGTAGGAGATCGGGAGAGTGCAAGAGGGTGAGAGATCGGGAGAGGGTGAGAGATCGGGGGAGAGGGAGAAGTTGGGGGAGAGAGGGAGAAAGCAGGAGAGTGGGAGAGAGCGTAGAGAGTGGGGGATCGGGAGAGATCGGGAGTCCGGGAGAGCACGAGAGAGAGCGAAGGGTCAGAGAGCCTTTCGGCCGTTTCCCCGTGCTGGGGATGCGACGTGCCACGATCGTGGTGTAGAGGTGGTGGAGTCAGGGCAAGAGCAGAGGGAAGAGAGAGAGAGAGGGGGGGGGGGAGGGGAGGGGGGGAAGAGCCGAGTTGCTGATGGGAAGAGGAGAGAGGAGAGGCTGGTGGGATGGGAGGGGGCAGCAGCGGGGGTGGGGGCACGCCGGTATTGTCGCCGTGTGACCTGCCGCGCCTCCCTCTGAAAGGGATTCTTTGCGCGCTCCGTGGCGATGACTGCCGCGCGATTGAATTTCGACCGCTAATTTGACGGCCTACACACCAGGCCCCGTCCGAGGTAGCGGCCCGGCAAACAAAAGTTGGCGACCTCCAAAACTCCCGCCCCCCCCTGCCCCCACAACCGATCCGCTTGGCGATTAGCGCGTTTGGCTACAAATGGTGCGAAATAAGTTCTACATACGCACTGCCCACAGACTCAACACTGTACCATAGACTCAACACTGCCCACAGACTCAACACTGCCCATAGACTCAACACTGCCCATAGACTCAACACTGCCCATAAACTCAACACTGCACCATAGACTCAACACTGCCCATAGACTCAACACTACCCATAGACTCAACACTGCCCATAGACTCAACACTGCACCATAGACTCAACACTGCCCATAGACTCAACACTGCCCATAGACTCAACACTGCCCATAGACTCAACACTGCCCATAGACTCAACACCGCCCATAGACTCAACACTGCACCATAGACTCAACACTACCCATAGACTCAACACTGCCCATAGACTCAACACTGCCCATAGACTCAACACTGCACCATAGACTCAACACTGCACCATAGACTCAACACTACCCATAGACTCAACACTGCCCATAGACTCAACACTGCACAATAGACCCAACACTGCACCATAGACTCAACACTGACAATAGACTCAACACTGCACCTCTGATTAGCGCAGTTGGCTATTTACAGGTGCGAAAGAAGTCCGATTACGTAGAAAATTGTTTTTACTTTTAGTTGCGTTTGGGTTACCGGGTCGAACGGGTTGAAAAAGTAAGCAAAAGATTGCCCTTGGTAGAATACTGTGATGATGCAAGGCAGTGATGAGACGGAAACTGGTGCTATTTGGACACACACATGTAGTAGTAGGATGGGCAACAACAGGAAAATTAAAAGTGGCTTGTTGTTGGGGGACAAATGGAAGCAACTGGAAAGAGAGGAAGACCTCTAACAGAGAACGGTTTGACGACGAAGACATCGAAAGAGTTCGGTGCCAGACAAGATGTGGCCACTATTTGATGCATATTTGCACTACTAGATACAGAGAGAGAAAGCTGGAAACAACAAGTTACGAAATGTGCGGTTTGTCCGATTTGCGGATTAACCGCGGCACCTGAGATTTTGACAAATTAATAACTCGTGGATTTATCCCTTTTAGCCCAATTTAATAGCCTCAAAACAGTTCTACGACATTGTTATTCTTTGGGAAATGTTCATTCCGAGTGCTTAAACCGAACAAATGTGTTGCTCCGGTTAATCCGAAATCCACGTAATCGCTCTTTAGTACAGTAGTTGCAATATCTTTACAACAGTGGGGCGGAGTTTGATTGCTGATTGGCTGTGGCTCCGTTGTCCGCCTGGTGGGCCGAGTCTCCTGCGCGGGAGCACCAAAGTGTTTTTATCGCTGAGCACGCGCCTCATCGATCGGTCAATCGGTAGTTTTCACACCGAGATCCGTGGAAAATGGTCATATTTTTAAATCCTTTATATTAAGTTCACTTGCTTGCTTGCTTGCGCGCTTACGACCGTGCAAATCTTTCGGTCGTTTTTTAACCCACTTCCCGTGACCCAATCGAGCTGACATTTTGCACACAGACTCGTTGTGCGTGACAATTAATTTTCGTGAAAATTTTTTCCATAACTTTACACTTTTTAGGAAATAAAAAATTATATTGAATTGCCAATTGCTTAATGGTGGCAGGCAATCATCTGACCCATAGGTGGCAGCCATCTCAAGCCAGAGGACGAGAGGACTCTTGCCGCCACGCATATAAAGGATATATAGTGAAAAACTTTGTTTTTACGGGTTAATTTTTTGGATTATCCGTCGTCCCCATCATGAGCGCGGATCATCGAGAGTCTGCTCGATATTGTTTTCCTTTTTAGGTCACGCAGTACTGTTGACAGATGTGTTGGGAGTTGGTTTTGTTACTTGCGCACCACTGCCAAATGCAGCGGCGGCAGCAGCAGTAGCGGCAGCATCGTCACCAAATGACTTGTAATGGAATGGTGTCTAATAGTCTACCAACTCCCTGGGCATCCCTGTCCAAGCTTAACAACTGTTGTGTCTCTTCTTACAAAATGACAATGAACTATGAAAACTATTTTGAAATGCAAAGCGCGCTTTGTTATTTCCTCCAACGTTCTCTTTGTTTCCCGTTCTGTCTCTCACGGTGCTCGCACGCACTGATGCACGCACGCACTCACGCACGCCCTCACTTACGCACACCCTCACACACACACGCACGCACTCACACTCACGCACTCGCTTGCACTCACACACTCACGCACTCACGTACGCACGCACGCACTGATGCACTCACGCACGCCCTCACTTACGCACACCCTCACACACACACTCACGCACTCACACTCACGCACTCGCTTGCACTCACACACTCACGCACTCACGTACGCACGCACGCACTGATGCACTCACGCACGCCCTCACTTACGCACACCCTCACACACACACTCACGCACTCACACTCACGCACTCGCTTGCACTCACACACTCACGCACTCACGTACGCACGCACGCACGCACTGATGCACTCATGCACGCCCTCACTTACGCACACCCTCACACACACACTCACGCACTCACACTCACGCACTCGCTTGCACTCACACACTCACGCACTCACGTACGCACGCACGCACTGATGCACTCACGCACGCCCTCACTTACGCACACCCTCACACACACACTCACGCACTCACACTCACGCACTCGCTTGCACTCACACACTCACGCACTCACATACGCACGCACGCACGCACTGATGCACTCATGCACGCCCTCACTTACGCACACCCTCACACACACACTCACGCACTCACACTCACGCACTCGCTTGCACTCACACACTCACGCACTCACGTACGCACGCACGCACGCACGCACGCACTGATGCACTCACGCACTGATGCACTCACGCACGCACGCACTTACGCACGCCCTCACACACACACTCACGCACTCGCTTGCACTCACGCACGCACTCACGCACTCACGCACTCGCGTACGCACGCACTCACACACTCGCGCACTCACTCACGCACTCACGCACTCACTCACGCACTCACGCACGCACACACTCACACACACACGCACACACTCACGCACTCACTTACGCACTCACGTATGCACTCGCGCACGCACGCTCAGGTGGTGAAGCCGCCGGCTGCGTTGGAGCCGTCCAGGGGTGCCGAGGGGCGGACGGACGGCAAGGCGGAGCGAAGGAAGCGCAGCCCCTCGCCGTGTTCCACCAACGGGGCCAGCGGCGGCGGCGGCAGCAGCCGGCCCGCGCTGTCTCCCGGCGAGCGTAAGCGCCGTACGTCGCCCGCGCCGGTGAGTCGTTAGCGTTTGCCGGTATTTGGCGATACCAAGAAGGAGAATAATAAATATAACGTGCGTTGGACTTCGTTCGCACCGTACGTACGTAGCCAACCGTGGTAATCGGGAAGTGCGGGGCAAGGAAGACAACACTAAACGCACACGGAAGAAAAATATCGACGATCAATTTGGATCGCGCCGTGATATGGCGTACGCACGCACGGCAGCGAGGGTCGGTGAATCACCACGCAAATGTTACGACTCTCCCCTATTGGAATCAGAATTGTTTTTTCAGACTGCAGAATGAATCCGGTGAGCTATGGAGCTCTTTTCCCCACAGATGGTCTCGTAGGGGCATGGGGTCAGAAAGTTACGGGAACACGTGTGTGTGTGTGTGTGTGTATTAAAAGTTGCAGATCGCCTGCATCGGCAATCGCCCTTGTGTAGCGTGACTTCTTCTAACTATGTGCCCTCCGTCTCCTCCCTCCCCTCCCTCCACTCTCCCTCCCCTCCCTCCACTCCCCAACTCCCCCCCTCCCTCCACTCCCCCCTCCCTCCCACCTCTCTCCCCCTCCCTCCACTCCCTCTCCTCCTTCCCTCCCTCCGCTCCGCTCCCTTCCCCTTCCTCTCACCCCGCCGGTGCTGCTGCTGCCGGTGTTGCCGTCGCCGCCCTGCCCCGCCCTGTGCCGCCCTGTGTGCCGCCCTGTGCCGCCCTGTGCCGCCCTGCCCCGCCCGCGATCAGAGCGGACGGGTGACCCCTCCGCGGCGCGCCCCCTCTCCCGACGGGCTGTCCCCCTACGGCCCCGAGGAGACGCAGCGGCGAGTCAGCATGGTGATGCGCGCGCGCCTCTACCTGCTGCAGCAGATCGGACCCAACTCGTTCCTCATCGGCGGGGACTCTCCCGACAACAAATTCCGCGTCTTCATCGGCCCCCAGGTGCGCCCGGATTCACGCACGTTGAGGGCGGTGAGGGGGGGGGGGGCTGGTGGTGGGGAGCGGTGGTGCGACGGTTAATGCCTGCTACGCTGCGAAACCGGCGACACGAGTTTGATTTCGGCTCGCGGCAAACCGGTGACGATTATCTGAACCGGTCCTGAGCCTCCCCCCTGGGTGGACTCGGCCTCAAATGAGTACCCGGTGCGGTGTGTGTAGTTAACATTGCCACTGGGGAGACAAAGGCGGCCGGGCGTGGTGCTGGCCACCCCCCTCGCGTGCTATGACGGCCTTCATAGGTGCTGCTACTCGCTTACAGCACTTGCCCCAACAGTCTGTTAAGGCCACACGGGCGATCTTTGTTTTTGCGGCTGTATGTATATACACGTATGTTGAACTTCTTTCGCGCCACCGTATGTCGCCAACCATGCTTAACTCCGGTGTGCGGGGCGGGGGGTGGGGACAACAGAAACTGAAATCCACTTCCAAAGAAATGACATTGCACAACTCCCAGCGGCTTCCCAATATCGGAAGGAAAAACGCGTTCCCAGACGTTCATCTCGGCGGGCCTTAACCTGGTCAAATTAAACCAGTTGATAGTTTTAACAGTTTGGTTTATCTGCGCCTCTTCCGCTGCCCTCCCCTACCCGGCCCTCCCCTGCCCTGCCCTCCCCTGCCCTCCCGTAGACGTGCAGCTGCGGCCGTGGCACCTTCTGCGTGCACGTGCTGTTCGTCATGCTCCGCGTGTTCCAGGTGGAGGCCACCGACCCCATGCTGTGGCGCAAAACACTCAAGAACTTTGAGGTGGGTCTGGCGGGGGGGGGGAATGGGGTGGGAAGGGGACGGAGGGAGGATTGGCAAGCGAGGAGAGCCGGGGAAGACGAGTCCGGCCGCTTCACCGTCGCGACGGGTGGTGTTGTGGTGGTGTTGGGGTGGTGTTGGGGTGGTAATGGTGTTGTGGTGGTGTTGTGGTGGTGTTGTGGTGGTGTTCGGGTGGTTGTGTTGGGGTGGTGGTGGTGTTGTGGTGGTGGTGTTCGGGTGGTTGTGTTGGGATGGTGGTGGTGGTGGTGTTGTTGTTGTGGTGGTGTTGTGTTGTGGTGGTGGCGGTATTGTGACGATTATCTGAACCAGTCCTGGGCCTCCCCTAGGTCGACTCAGCCTCAAAGGATTACCTAGTGCGATGTGTAAACATCGCCACTGGGGAGGCGTGGTGTTGGCCACCCACCCCCTCGTGTGCTGTGCCAGCCTTCATAGGCGCTCGCAAACAGAACTTGCCCCTACAGTCTATTAAAGCTATACGGGGGGGTCTTTTCCTTTTGTATATGTGTACGCTAGGGGGCACAGGTGGTGCATCAGTCATCTCAGTCTGTCAACCCGTGGCACCACCTGGCTCTGTCCCGTGACCTCCTGCTGTGGTGACGTCACCATCACTTAGTGGCGGCTGTTGTTGTATGTGTACTGCGTGTGTGCGCGCGTATGCACAAGCGCGTGTGTGTGTCCACCCCACCCCCCCGTGTCTCCGCGCAGGTTGAGAGCCTCTTCCAGAAGTACCACACGCGCCGCAGCTCGCGCATCAAGGCGCCGTCCCGCAGCGCCATCCAGAGGATGGTGGGGCGCATGAGCACCTCGCAGGCCGCCTCCTCGTCCGCCGCGGCCAACGCCCAGACGCTGGCCGGCGCCGACGGCAGGTAAACGTCCGCCCGCTCGCCCGCCCGGCCGACCGGTAGCACCCGCCTCGACTTGCTCGCCCCCATTTGCTCGGTCTCCCGATCGTTCTGTTTGACCGCTCGACTGCCCGTGCCCCCTGTCGCAGGTCACTTGGTCGTGCGTACGCTCGCCCGCTCGCTCATCCGTTCGCTCGGCCGGCCGATCGTACGCTCGCTCAGTGGCCCGATGACTCGGGTCGCAAGCTCGCCCACTCACTCGACCGTTTACCCACCAGCTCGACCGCTCGTCGCTCACCCACCCGCTCGCCCGATAGCTCTGTTTGCTCACTCGACTGCTCGTGCCCCCTGTCGCACGCTCGCCCATCGCTCGGGCGCCAGGTCACTCGCTCGCACGTACTCTCGATCGCTCCGTCGCATACGCGCCCACTCAGCCACAAGATCGACCGCTCATCGCGCAACCACCCACTCATCGACCCACCAAATCACTTGCCCACTCGCTCATCCGATCACTCGGCCGCCCGATCGCACACACCCTCGCTCGCACCCTCGCACGCTCGCTCGGTGGCCCCCGATCGCTCGGTCGCATGCTCGCCCACCAACCCACTCCCTCGACCGCGTTCCCACTAGCTCGACCGCTCCACGCGCCCACCAGCCCGCCCCACCCACTCGCCAACCCGCTGAACCGACCCCCTCGCCCTCGACCAGTCTCGCCCCAACCTGCACGCTTGCTTTCGACGCGAGTGTTTTTCTGTTCGGGAGGATGGCCCGATGGCGGAGGGTGACCGTGTGGCCCCTGGCAGCAAGGACGAGGCAGAAGAGCAGACGTGCCCCATCTGCCTGCTCGAGATGCTGGACGAGGAGAGCCTCACCGTGTGCGAGGACGGCTGCCGAAACAAACTACACCACCACTGCATGTCCATCTGTGAGTGCTTGGTGGGTGGGGGGTGGAGGTGGCTTGGGTCGGAGTTGAGTAGCGGTAGCACGGTGGCTAAGAGATGTTAACTACTTGCTACAAGAGGTCGTGGGTTCCATCCCGACCCTGACGCCTGCTGCTCTATATTTGGAGTTTCCGTCTCTCTCTCTCTCTCTCTCCCGGTGGTCCCGTGGATTTTCCCCCCGAGTTGCCCGGTTTTTCCCTCCACATTTCGAATTGACGTCACGCGTTTAAAGTATTTTGGCTGACAAAAATGTCCACGTGACTTTGATAAGCCACCACTTCGTTGAGCTCTCGTTTGTGATAGCCAGGTCGCTTCTGAAAAAGAGATGTATGATCCTTATGGCGGTACGCCGGGGTACCAAATAATACAAAATGGTCCAGGCAATTAAAGATTTCTCGGCGTGCACCGCGGGTAATATTATTACTACCCGGCAATCACGAGCGAGATCAGCTCGTAGATCGACGACCCGATTCAGCAAGCAGTCAGTCCCCCCACCCGCTCGAACAAATGCCAGCTTGTTTCGATTGACGCGATGGTGGATCCGGACACCGAAGGCGAAACCTGGGCGTCCCAAGAAGAAAAGGGGCGTCGCTCCGGGGCAGAAATCGATCCTGTCTTTCTTTGCCAAACATTAGCATGAAAAATCCATTAGCGAGAAATTCAACTTCGAAAAGTGCATCGTGTACAGCTCGTCGAGATGAGTCGATTGCCGCATCGCCGACCATCAACGGACTAAAAATAAGTAATATTTAAAAATCCTTTTTTGAAAACACGCTTTAATGAAATGTACCGTACTCGTAATTGCAGAACTCCACGACTCCAGGAAGTGGCCCCGAGGCTTGCCATAACGTAAGGGACCGTGGTGATTGACAGCCAACGACCCAAGGCGAAATATAACATATAAAAAAGAATGTTTAAAAAAAAAATTAATGATAGAATATAGTATTGTCATCAGTAAGACATAAGTATACCAAGTTTGCAGTCGATACCACATTGGGAAGTGGGTTAAAATTGAGTTACAAGATTTGACAATACGACAACAACAGACAGAGTGAGTTAAATAAAAGTGTGTAATGACTGCATTACGGACATTATGCGAGAGCCGGGGTACTATGGTACCCCCAGGTACCGCCATTAGGTTCATATGTAGCAGCTCAATGGGGACTTACCTGGTAAAATAAAAAAATAGTTTAGTTAATTCGTTTTTAGTCAACGAAGCAGATCAGAATCTTTACTTAGACTGCAGGAGGAATCCGATGAGCTATGACGTTCCTTTTCACAGACGTCCAGTTGGGAATAATGAGAACTAACACGACGGTGATGACGGCCGCGGTGATGGTGGTGATCATCATAATAATAATGGCATCGCAAGGACCGATACAACATTAACTACAAGCGCTGGATCATGGATTCTGATCTATTCGCGCGGATTTCGAGCGGTCTCCACGGGTAGAGATAAGATCTAAGGGCAGACGATGGGATAATATTCTCTCGCAAACAGCACTTGCCCCCAAGGATCTTCGTCTTTGTCTCCTTCATAGGTGCTGCTACTCGCTAAGAGCACTTGCCCCAACAGTCCGTTAGAGGCTACGCGGGGGATCTTTGTCTTTGGTTGCGTGTGCGTGCGTGCAGGGGCAGAGGAGTGCCGCAGGAGCCGCGAGACGCTCATCTGCCCTCTCTGCCGCTCCAAGTGGCGCTCCCACGAGTTTCACAGGTGACCGCATTAACCTAGCAAACAACTTTAATATCATTGACATTAACTACCTCGCCTGGTATACACGAGGTCGTGGGTTCGATCCCGACACGGGGACACCTGCTGTATATTTGGAGTTGGCGTGTCTCTCTCTCGCTCCCCATGGTCGCGTGAATTTTTGCACGCCCTCCCACTCGCTCCACGATCGCCCGGTTACATACTCACCCACTCCCTCGACTGTTTACCCCACTAGCTAGACCGCTCCATCGCTCGCCCACCCACACACCCTCTCCTATATCGCCAGCGCCCTTTATATCTGCACCTTCGCCCCCCCTCCCCCCCCCCCCCCCCCCCTTGTTCGTCGTGCAGTTATGAGGCCTCCAGCTCGGTCGACGCCCAGCCGCAGGCCCAGGTGCAGGCGCCGCCACCACCGCAGTCCCCGCACGGCGCCACCGCTGCCGCCAACAACCGGCAGATGGACAACGAGGCGGCGCTGCTCCACTATGGCGCCCAGCCCATCCCCGTGGCGTACCGCGGCATCGCCGAGCCCTGGAGCCAGGTACAGCGCCTGAGCCAAACCCGCCACCGCCTCCCCCCCCCCAGGTGGCCTCGTTCAGGATTAGGGCACCGGCGCGCGTACGTAAATGTGCGTCCAGTGACTTGGTGCCGTCGTGCGAGCGTGTGTCATGTGACGTGGCACCATCGTGCGTGCGTGTGTGTGTGTGCGACATGAATGTGGGACGACCGCGCGCGTGTGTGCGTCATGTGACGTGGCACCATCGTGCGTGCTGGGCGCAGGTGTTTGGCGTGGAGCTGGTGAGCTGCCTCTTCTCGCGCCACTGGAACATCCGCGAGATGGCCATGCGCCGCCTCTCCCACGACGTCACCGGCTCGCTGCTCCTCGCCAACGGGGAACTGCGCGGCGCCTCCGCCAACGACGGCAGCGGCGGCGCCGCCGGCGGCGGTGCCGGCGGCGGGGGAGGAGCGGGGGGAGGAGGAGGGGGGGGAGCGGAGGGCGGCCCCCGGGACGGGCCGTCGGACCGCTCGGCGGGGGCCGTGATGGAGTGCTGCTGCAGCGTGCTGTCCATGGTGTGCGCCGACCCCGTCTACAGGGTCTACGTGGCCGCGCTGGTGAGGAGAGCAGTGGCGGCTGGGGGTGACGGAGAGCGGCGGCGCAACGATTAGCGCGCCGCGCTACGAACCCGGCGGCCTGATTTTGGGGGGGGGGGGGGGGGGGAGTGGTGGTTGGAAGAGGTGGGCAGGAAGAGGTGATGACATTTTGCTTTGGGTTTTAAAACGCGAATCCGGAGCACCGCGTTATGACGTCAAGGCCAACGCCTAAAAAAACTGACCTTTTTATTTTACGAGGTGGTAAGGCCCCACTGAGCTGTATAGAACCGACCTGGCCATCACAAAGTACAGCTCAACGAAGTGGCTTATCATCATGCCACTGGAGCTAAGCACTTTTAACTCCTCTCGATTGACATTCCTATTCCTTCAAAACTTCCTTTTGTGATTACTTTGTTATCCATTCCCCCCCCCGCACCTCCGGTTAGCACAGTTGGCTTACGTACGGTGTTCAACATACATACATAGTTTAACATACACACGCGCATTACCCGGTATAATGTTAAATGGTTGCTTTAGTTCGCGTGGCCGATCGCAACTCCGAGGCTCAAGGACACCGGGGCAAACAGCGCCTGCCAAACCCGGAGCCGCGGTGACGGCTGCATCCGCCGCCCCACCGGTTCGGTAATTGCAGCCTCGTTAAAAGAAGGAGCGGAACTGAAAAGGGGGAAGCGTTACGGAGGGAGAGTGGGGGAGGAGGGGTTGGGGGTGGGGGGGGGCAACAGACGTTTATTTGAACCGGTCCTGGGGCCCTCCTCTAGGTCGACCCAGCCTAGAATGAGTACCTGGGTGCGGCGTGTGGTAAACGTCGCCACTGGGGAGACGAAGGCGGCGGGGCGTGCGTTGGTGCCGGCCACCCCCCCTCGTGCGCCACAGTGGCGGCCTTCATCGGTGGTGCTGCTGTTGCTACTCGCCAACAGCACTCGCCCCTACAGTCCGTTACAGGCTACGGGGTGGGGGGGGGGTATCTTTATCTTCGATGGTGTTGGTGGTGTTGGTGGTGTTGGTGGTGGTGGTGTTGGTGGTGTTGGTGGCGGTGGTGTTGGTGGCGTTGGTGTTGGTGGCGGTGGTTTTGGTGGCATTGATGGCGGTGGTGGCGGTGGTGTTTGTGGCGTTGGTAGCGTTGGTGGTGGCGGTGGTGTTTGTGGCGTTGGTGGTGTTGGCGGTGGTGTTGGTGGTGTTGCTGGGGTTGGTGGCGGTGGTGGCGGTGGTGTTGGTGGTGTTGGTGGTGTTGCTGGGGTTGGTGGCGGTGGTGGCGGTGGTGTTGGTGGTGTTGGTGGTGTTGGTGGTGGTGCTCGGGGTCAATTCGGCGGCGTGCGGCTATGGAGTGAGGGTTCAAATCCTCACGTGCACACGCTTATCTCAAACCATGGGCCCCCGAAAGTCTGTTAAGGCTATGGTGGGGGGGTGGTGGGTGGGTGGAGAGGGGGGGACCGGGGGGGTGGGATCTTTGTCTTTGTATAAACACAGTGCGGTTCCCACTCCCCCCAGCGCGGCTTGTTTACTTTATGTACTCCCACAGGAAGTATCGGCAGTTGTGTTTCTGCGTGGCCTGAGCCCACGCGCGGCACGGCCCAGCGAGCGAGCCAGCGCACCGCTTTTGTTCCAAAATCCTTGGGAAACTGTAATGCGCTGTACAAACCCCTCCACCGCCCTTTGTGTCGCCCCCCCCCCCCGCCGCCGACTGCGTGCTCTCTCTCTCTCGCTCGTTCTCGCTCGCTCCCTTACTTGCGCTCTCTCTGCTTGTCCTCTTTCTCTCCCTTGCTCTTCTCTCTTTCTCTCTTCTTTTTTTTACGATCAGTGGAAACAAGAAGATGCACGGTGTAGTTGGCACTTTGCTTAGTTCATCATTTCGTACTTTTTTTATTATTAATAATAACTTTGCTTTATGTAGCTCGCTTCTCGCTCGCTCTCGCTCGCTCTGGACGCTCGCTCTCTCGCTCTCGCTCTCATCTCGCTCTCTCGCTCTCTCTCTCTCGCTCTCTCGCTCTCACTCTCTCGCTCACTCTCTCGCTCACTCTCTCGCTCGCTCTCTCGCTCGCTCTCTCGCTCACTCTCTCGCTCTCTCTCGTTCTGCACGCAGCCCTTCTCGCAGTCCGACGTCTTCCGACGGGTAGCTCATAACTGCCTCTCTCTTTCTCTCGCTCTCTCTTTCTCTCCCTTGCTCTCCATCTCTCGTTTCCTGCCGTTCTTGTTCTCACCCTTGCTCGCTCTCGCTCGCTCTCCCTATCCCCATATATTTCTTGCTTTCTCTCACTCTCTTGGCTACACTCTTTCTTGTTCTCTCCCTCTTCCTCTCTTTTTTGTTTTTGCTCTCTCGCTCTCTTTCCTGTTCTCTCTCCTCTCTCTCTCTCCCTCCCCCTTGTCCCTCTCTCGCTTTCTTGTACTCTCTATCTGCTCTTTCTCTCCGGCTGGCTCTTCTCCCTTTCTCACTGCGCACCGCAGATCGCCAAGCACTCCTCTAGCCTGTCTGGTAGCACCCTCCCCTCCTCCCGTCGACTCCGGCTGGTCACGGCAGTCCACCACGATAGCGGGGACGTAACATTCCTCCGAATGCTTTCAAGACACGAGCGATTGTTCCGAGGTGGTCATCTTGGGGGCGTAGTGTGGTCGACGAAAGGAATTATTTATTCACCTTGATAATTTGCCATGGTGTTTGTTAAAACTAAACTATTTTTATTTTACCATGGCAAAGCCCACCGAGCTCTCGAGTTATTTTTCAGAAGCGATCTGGCCACAGATGATAGTTTAACGAAGTGGGGCTTATGATCATCGCATGGAAATTTATAGCGGCAGCCAAGTACTCTAACCTCGTGACGTTGATTAAAAATGTGGAGGGAAAAAAAACGGGAGGACTCGGAGAAAAATAGAGGCGACCACGGGGAGAGAGAGAGACACACACAAACTCCAAATATACAGCAGCAGGCGTCGGCAAGGTCGGGATCGAACCAAGGACCTCCTGCATACCAGGCAAGAGAGTTAACATCTCCTTGCCACCATGATGATGATTAGAGAGAGAGACACGCAAACTCCAAATATAGAACAGGCATCGTCAGGGTCTTGATCGAACCCACGACCTCTTGCATACCAGGCGCTGGAGTTCACATCTCCTAGCCAGCGTGGCGCTCCACATAGCTAATTTAATCCAGAACTTCTGGGCCACTTCCACCACAGCAACACAATGCAGCGGAGAGCTGATTGAGGTAGGGGGGTAATAAGGAACAAACAAAATCTGAGAAGAAAAAAAAGTGCGTTGTTATAATTTATACCGGATAACAAAAAAAACTAAATTTGCGCACACAAAACACAATGGCACAACAATGCTGCCCCCCCCGCCACCCCATTGTGTTTCGCGGTCAGTTCTGGCCGCCCGTGTAGCCTCGAGATCGTTGTATGTGTGTATGTTGAACTTCTTTCGCACCGTACGTAGCCAACCGTGCTAATCAGAGGTACGGGGGAAGGACAACAACCTAAACTCAAAAAGCAGTTCTCAAGAAGTGAGTTTGTCAATCTAGATGATGATGTAATAATGCGTAGCTCCCAGTGGCTTTCAAATATCGGAAGGAAGAGCTTTCCAGACGGCCGTGGAAATGCATCTGAAGGCGCCACGCGGTGCGTTGAACATCTTTGTTCAATGGCCAGCCTAAAGCCGCCGCTGCTGCTGCTGCTGTGAGGATGATCAGGAGTTTGCGTGATAGTTTATGCCCTGACGAGATCAGGGAGGGAGTATGGTTCAGATGGGCGACGTTTCGGGTGATGGCCCTTTTTAAGGCCAGCCGTTTGAACTAAAAGTCTCAACTATTTTTATTTTACCAGGTAAGGCCCACTGAGCTATTTAGCAGCTCAGAAGCGGTCTGGCTATCACAAATGATAATAGATCAACGAAGTGGCTCATCACTTGCCAATTTATCGCAGCAGCCAAATCCTCGAAACGCGTGCATGTCGATTCTAAATGTGGAGGGGGAAAACCGGAGGACCCGGAGAAAAATCCACGCGACCACAGGGAAAGAGGGAGAGACACGCAAACTCCAAATACGCAGCGAATATTTAAACAAGTAAATCGCAGCCGGTCGTGGCGTTGAGCTCCAACCCGGCCACTCGCGTGCCGTGCGCCGGCCTTCATTCGGCGCTTTCCCCACACCCGTGTCCCCCTCTCCCCGCGCGCGTGCACAGAAAACGCTGCGCGCCATGCTGGTGTACTCCTTCTGCCAGAGCCTGGCGGAGCGAGCGCGTCTCCAGAGGCTGCTGAGGCCCGTGGTGGAGGCCCTACTGGTCAAGTGCGCCGACTCGCACAGGTGGGAGTGGGGAGAGGGGGACCATCGCGACGCGGCTACCGCTCGGGGAGACAAAGGCGGCCCGGGGCGCGGCGCCGGCCAGCCTACCACCGCCCCTTTCGTGCGCCACCTGTGGCGGTCACCGCCGCCGGCGCTGCTGCTCGCTCGCAGCGCTTGCCTCGAACGTGTCCGTCAAGGCCTTGTCTTGTGTGTGTGTGTGCGCGCGCGCGTGTGTGTGTGTGTGTGTCTGTGTGTGTGCGTGTAGTGTAGCGGTTAGCGCGCTGCGCTATGAACCTGGCGACCCGGGTTCGATTCCCGCTCACGGCTAACACCAGTGACGATTATCTGAACCGGTCCTGGGCCTCCCCTAGGTCGACTCAGCCTTAAATGAGTACCTGGTGCGGTGTGTAAACATCGCCACTGGGGAGACAAAGGTGGTCGGGCGTGGTGCTGGCCACCCACCCCCTCGTGTACCGTTCCGGCCTTCATAGGTGCTCGCCAACAGCACTTGCCCCTACAGTCTGTTAAGGCTACACGGGGTATCTTTGTCTTTATCTTTGTGTGTGTGTGTGTGCGTGTGTGTGTGCGGTGCAGTCGGACGAGCCAGCTGTCCATCTCAAGCCTCCTGGAGCTCTGCAAGGGACAGGCCGGGGAGCTGGCGGTGGGCAGGGAGCTGCTCAACTCTGGTAGGGAGGGGGGAGGCGAGTCTCGTCGTGGTGCTGCGTATCTCGTCAGGTCACATCGTGTCTCGTCACGTGACAAGTCAAGTTCGCGTCGCGTGACAAGTCTTGTCTCGTCGTTCGCCCCCCCCCCCTTCACCCCCCCCCGCCCCCCCCCCCCCCAGTGTCGCTGGGCCTCGGAGGCCTGGACTTTGTGCTCGGCTGCATCCTGGGCGCCCAGACCTACTACGCCAACTGGCAGGCGCTGCTCGGACGCCTCTGCTTCATCGACCGCCTGCTGCTCGAGTTCCCCACCGAGTTCTACCCCCACGTGCTCGCAGAGGGCGAGGGGGGCACAGAGGGCATCGCCCTGGACAGGTCAGTGGGGGGGGGGTGGGTGTGGGTGGGTTAGTGGGTGGGTTAGTGGGTGGGTTAGTGGGTGGGTTAGTGGGTGGGTTAGTGGGTGGTGTGTCATCTCAAGTCAGTCAACCCCATGGTACCTGCTGGGTCTGTCCCGTGATCCCACTGCGAGGAGGCGAGGATTGGTCAGCGCTACGCCGCGCTACGAACTCTGGCGACCCGAGTTCGATTCCCGCTCACGGCCACCAACAACCGGTGACGATTATCTGAACCGGTCCTGGGCCTCCCCTAGGTCGACTCGGCCTCAAATGAGTAACCTGGTGCGGTAAGTAAACAACGCCGCTGGGGAGATAAAGGTGGCCTGGGCGTGTTGCTGGCCACCCACCCCTTTCGTGTGCAGTGCCAGCCTTCATAGGTGCTCGCTAACAGCACTTACTATAAGGGGGATCTGTGTTTGTTTTGGGGGTGGGGTGGCGTGGGTGGGAGGCAGGGGGGAGATGGGGCAGTGTAGAGCATCGCCCTGGACAAGTCAGAGGGGGGGTGGTGTGGGTTGTGAGGGGGTGGTGTGGGTGGGGGGCAGGGGGTACATTTTGGTGGGGGCATTTCCCTGCACAGGTCAGAGTGCGAGGGAAGGGGCGGTGGGAAAGGTAGGGGAGCGCTGAGTTAACGAAGGCACCACCCCCGCCCCCCACTCCGCAGGTATGACAAGCTGCTGTCCCTGCTGAACTTCACGCTCAAGTCGCTGGACAGCTCCCACTCGGTGGTGGGGAAGGTGTCGGGCCGCGTCGTGCTGGGCGCCGCCCGCATGGTGGCGCAGGTGCCCCACGTCTACCAGCGGCTCGTCGAGATGCTCGGCGAGACGGGCAGCCACCCGCACCCGCACCAGCAGCAGCAGCAGCAACAGGGCCAGCAGCAGCAGCACGTGCACTACCACCCGCAGCTCCAGCTGCAGATGCAGCAGCCGTTCTTCCAGCTGCACAACGCGCCGCCGCACCACCACGACGCGAGCACGGCGCGCCTGCAGCGCCGGCTGCTGAGCCTGGCGGAGGAGATGGGCGTCCTCGACTGCATACAGGTACGTGCGTGTGTGCGTGCGTGTGTGTGCGTGCCTGTACAGGTAAGATTTTCATTGGTGAGCTCCGGCAGGCAAGGCTACGTTGGCTGGGTCATGTAGCCCGCATGCCCAGCCACCGCATGCCCCAAGCAGCTTCTGTTTGACCGCATAAAGGGGGCTAAACGGGCACAGCACGGGCTGGAGAAGAGATGGAGCTGATGCTGTGTAGACTTGCCGAAGACTGGTACGAGGGGTGTCAAGATCGGCCTCTGTGGAGGAGGCCGATCTTGACGGCACCTGCCGGGTCTGTCCCAAGACCTCATATCAGCGAACCTTCGACACTTCACGTGTCACTTCATGGCGAATGGCGGGTGTTGGTACAGGATTTGCCCGGCAGTCTGTTAATGCTGCTACACAGAGGGTGGGTGGGGCAGGGGGAAGATTTCAGATTTCTCCAGGAAAAAAAAATATTCGGATTTTATTTCCGATGTCGTTCGCCGAACGGGACGCGTCGCTAGCGCCACCAGATTAATAACCCACCCCGCCCGCAGGCTCGTGACGACGCGGGCGACGGGCGATTCGAAGGCTTCGTCGAGCCGTCGGCCCCCCACAACTCCCCCGCGGGCACCGCCCGCTCCACCCCCACCGCCTCCCTCCGCAGCGGGGGGGCGGCGGTGGGGGGGGGCCTCCCCCCACCGCCACTCCCTCCTCCCGCGCCCTTCGCGCCGGAGACGGCCTCCGGGCTGCTCTTCTACGACACGGCCATGCCCGCGGCGTCGGGCGCCGTCACCAGGAACCCCGCGGTTGCTTCGGCGTCGTCGTTGGCGGCGGCGGCGTCCGCCCCCCGGGCCACCCCCAAAGACGTCAAAGCGCGGGACGGCAAGCCCGGCGCGCTGGGCGCGGCGCCGGTCGCTCTCGCCACGGCCGGCGCCGACGCACCGGCCTTGGCGAGCGCCGTGGGGCAGCCGCCTTCGTCTGTCGCGGGGGGTGGCGTCCCCAAGACTCATCAGCCGCCGGTAGCGGCGGGAGCAGCAGGTGGCGCCAGCGCTCCGTGCGGTTACTCCGGCCAGCACGGCACAAGGACTCAACCGCAGCAGCAGCACGTGGATAGGAGCCCCGGCACGCTCGCAAAGACGGACAGGTCTGCCGGCGCCGTGCTACCACCGGCGCCCGGCGACGCTCACTGCGGCCCGGCCTCGGTGAGAAACAAGTCGGCAGCGGCGGCGACGCCGTCGGTCAAGCACAACGCCGGCGGCGCAACGGCAGCGGCGTCTGCGTCGTACCCCAGCCTGGTGCCGTTTGCCGAAACCGGCGGCGGAGGAGCCGACGAGAAAGGCGCCGTCGCAGCCAGGCCGGCCGCGGACTGGCACGGTGGCTCGCAGGCGGCGGGCGAGACGAGGGGGCGGGCGCCGGGCGCCGGCAAGCAGACGGCGGGGGGGTCGGCGACGGCGTCGTCGGGGTGGAAGGACGTCGGCAGGCCGGGAGCGGCACCGGGCGCCAGGCCCCAGCCGCCGCCCCTCGCCGTGAAGCCGCACATCGAGCGCGGCTCTCCCGAGCGGCAGAAGAGGCCGAGCGCGTCGCAGCCCCGGCAGCAGCAGCAGAGCCAGGGGGGCGCCGGCGGCACCGCTCACCGGGCGGCGTCGGTGGCGCCGCTCGCCGCCAAAGAGGAACGACCGTGCGAGCCGGAGGGCCACGGCAGTGACTCGCGGTCGGCGCCGGTGCCGGAGACCGCGTCCCGGCAGGCATCCGGGCGCAAGTGCAAAGACCGCGGCTGCAAGCGCAGGGACCCGAAGGAGCTTGCGGGCAAGGAGCCCCGTGGCGCCGGCGTTACCGGCGCCGGTGGCGGCGTCGGTTCGTGGCTGCAGAACGGTGTCGGCGGGATGTCGCCGGGGCAGGGACGGGTGCAGCGGAGCGACGACGACGACGACGGTGACGACGGTGGGGAGCAGGAGGAGGAGGAGGACTCTGAGACGGTGCGTTTGGGTGCCGGCGACGATCGTCACGGCGTGACGTTCCACTCCGAGGTCGCCATGACGATGAGCCCGGACGGCGGGGCGGAGCCGGGAGACTCGTACCGCGAGGAGGTGAGGCCGGTTAAACGGTTCGTCATCGCTGAATGTTTAACGCGGGGACCACAAATAATTAATATAAAACACACGAACTCCACTCACTCAGACTGTAGAACAGGGAGAGATCTTACAAACTCCACTCACTCAGACTGTAGAACAGGGGGAGATCACACAAACTCCACTCACTCAGACTGTAGAACAGGGAGAGATCTTACAAACTCCACTCACTCAGACTGTAGAACAGGGGGAGATCACACAAACTCCACTCACTCTGTAGAACAGGGGGAGATCACACAAACCCCACTCACTCTCACCCGGCAGAACACGCGGAGATGATACGCTCTACCGCATGGCCTTGTGGGAGCGTCGATACCGATAAAGTTAACTTATTTTAGTTTTTTTTTCCAGTTTCGTTTTGACGATGTACACGCACCTACGTTTTGATTATGTACATGCACGATTGAAAACTAATTTGTAAAGAAATGAGTTTTCGACCTGGATGATTTCACCGTGCATAGCTCCCAGTCGCTTCCTATCATCGGAAGGAAGAGCGTTCCAGACGGCCGCAGAAGCGCATCTTGAAAGCGCGCGATGCGGCGACCCGTTTTTGTTCGATGGCTGACGATTTCGACGATGATGGCAACGACGATAGTGACGATGACGATGTTGACAACGACGATGATGACGATGGTGACGATGACAATGATGGCGACGGTGACGACGACGATGATGACGATAATGGCAACGACGATGGTGACGATGATGGTGACGACGATGATAGTGACGATGACGATGACGACGACGGTGATGGCGACGGTGACGACGACGACGACGATGACGACGATGATGGCAACGACGATGGTGACGATGATGATAGTGACGTTGACGATGGTGACGACGACGATGATGACAATGATGGTGACGATGATGATAGTGACGTTGACGATGGTGACGACGACGATGATGGCGATGGTGACAACGACAATGATGGCGACGGTGACGACGACGATGATGACGATGATGGCAACGACGATGCGGCGCAGGTGGAACGGGACCAGCTGTGCAAGGAGAAGGTGGAGCAGGAGGAGGAGGAGGCGCTGGCGATCGTCATGGCCATGTCGGCGTCGCAGGACGCGCTGCCCGTCATCCCGCAGCTGCGGCCCGTGGGCACCCTGGACATCATCCTCGTGCAGACCGATGTGAGGGCTACCTCCCCCCCGCCCCCCCCCCCAACGCGATGGATACCAGCCGCTTAGTCAAGCTATCATTGGGCCAGCTCGCTTATGGGGGCCTTACCTGGCCAAAACCAAAAACCCCCAAAATAAATTTTGAACACCCACTTACCGAAATGCCTCGCCGATGCTGTGCCGTTCCCATGACCACCGGCGCTCGTTGGGCTCGTGAACAGCGCCGGCTAAGGGCGCGCCTGCAAACGTCTGAGTCGCGTCGCGTTTGCGCGCTTGGCTACGTACGGTGCGCGACAGAAGTTCAACATTCACACCGACAACGATCCCCCGTGTAGCCTCTAGCAGACTGTTGGGGCAAGTTATGTTGTGGCACATGAGGGGGTGGTTGGCCAGCACCACGCCCGGCCGCCTAGTGGCGATGTTTACTACACACCACACCGGGTACTCATTTGAGGCCGACTCGACTTAGGCTCAGTTCAGATAATCGTCACTGGTGTTGGCCGTGAGCGGGAATGGAACTTGGGTCGCCGGGTTCGTGGCGCAGGGCGCTAACCACTCCACTACCGCTCCCCACATCACGCACGTACACACACACGTACACACAGCAGGGGATGGAGAAGATCCCAGGCCACGGAAAGGCCCGTCAGCCGTACCGGGAGGGTGCCGAGTGGTTCAAGGGCCAGCAGATCGGCATGGGGGCCTTCTCCTCCTGCTTCCAGGCACAGGACGTTGGCACCGGCACGCTCATGGCCGTCAAACAGGTACACAGGGCGACGATGATGATGGTGGTGATGATGGAGATGACGACGATGGTGATGATGATCACGATGATGAGCGCTGTGGTGTGGTGCAGGTGGAGCGGCACCAGCCGTTCAAGGAGTGCTGCGAGAGACTCGCGCGCACACGCAGATAAAAGTTCCGCTCCCCCTGTATAGCCTTAACGGACTGTTAAGTAAAGTGTCGTTAGAGACGCGCTTCTCTTCTATGACGTAAGTGCGCAACACTGCCTTCATTAGGCGCTGGTATCTTCATATTGTATCACTCCGATTAGCACGGGCGCCCTGCGTACGGTGCGAATCAAGTTCAATGCACCTAAGCGTGCGTGCGTGCGTATGCGCGCGTGCCAGGTGACGTACGTGCGCAACACGGCGTCGGAGCAGGAGGAGGTGGTGCAGACGCTGCGCGAGGAGATCCGCCTCATGAGCCGGTTGGACCACCCGCACATCGTGCGCATGCTGGGTGCCACGTGCGAGAAGAGCAACTACAACCTCTTCATCGAGTGGATGGCCGGTGGGCAGCACTTGAAAAAAATTTAAATATATAAACTCATACTACCCCAGATAAAAGGCCCCGTTCTCCTGAGCTGCCGCTATATACACACGCACAGGGACTCCGCGACTTACAAACATTCAGAGATACGAACAAATCCTGGTCCGTATTTCCAGTTGTCTGTTCGGAACCGAGAGATGTAAGCTCAACCGCCGGCACAATAGATGATGGCGGTGGTTGTCCGGTGTCATTACCCAGCATTCCCTGCCTTGGGGTCACCGCCATCGTCTCTTGTTGTTGTGTTGTGGCTATTCACCAACATCATCAACCCCCGTCGTGTCTCAGAAGCGTAGCAGTGGTGAAAGTGTTGAGGGTGGTAGTAAGAAGAGCCAGTGGCATCTACATCTACAGGAGATGATACAACTTTTAAAGAGAGACACGCAAACTTCAAATATACAGCAGCAGGCATTGTCAGCGTCGGGATCGAAGCCACAACCGCCTGCGTACCAGGCGAGGTAGTCAACATCTCACCACAGGGAGAGAGAGACACGCAGACTCCAATTATACAGCAGCAGGCATCAGGGTCAGGATTGAACCCACGACCTCCTGTATACCAGGCGAGGTGGTTAACATCTCCTAACCACCCCTTGCCGTGAACCCACGACACTCATTCACCTCCCTCGCCCCTCCACTTAGGCCTCGACAAGGTAAGGTAAAAGGTAAAAACAACGAGCCTACCTTTACCCTACCTTTTACCCTTACCCCATACAAAGTACCCAATCACAGGGTAATTACTGGGGTGCTACTACACATGAACAAGGTTTATAACGGTAAATGTGAGGTAGAGCGCTTTGTTCATATAGAATACTCTCGATGTTTCCAATTTTAAATGGAGGCCACGGACTGCACCACGAAGCTTTTAGCGAGCGGTAAACAAGGTGTTTACGGTAAACAAGGTGTTTACGGTAAACAATGTGTTTGCGGTAAACAAGGTGTTTGTGGTAAACAAGGTGTTTGCGGTAAACAAGGTGTTTGCGGTAAACAAGGTGTTTGCGGTAAACAATGTGTTTACCATAAGCAAGGTGTTTACCGTAAACAAGGTGTTTACCGGGTAATATTTCACGCTACCTTTACCCTACCCTTTACCTTACCCCTTGGCTTGTTGACACTTTTACCCTTTTACCCGGTAAAAAGGGTAAATTGCCTTACCTTGCCGAGGCCTACCTCCACTTCTTCCCATCCCCTAACCCCTCTCTACCCCTCTCGTGATCCCCGAGTACCACCCCCCCGTCGCCCGTCAATTTTCGTGGCACTGCCCCTGCGGACTACTTGGCACCCACCCCCGATTTAGCACGGTTAGCTACGTACGGTGCGAAAGAAGTTCAACATACGTCCATGCATCCATCAACTCACACGGGAGACCCATAGACTCGTCACGCAGGGACCCATGGACCCGCACACCGCGTCACGCGGCGCTTTCGGATGCGCTTCTGCGGCCGTCTGGAACGCTCTTCCTTACGACATGAGGAAGCCACTGAGAGAGATAGCCACTTTTAAATCATCATCTTCTAGATTGACAAACTCATTTCTTTAGAGGTGCTTTGTGTGTTTAGTTTGTTGGCCTTCCCCCCCGCACCTCCCGATTTAGCACGGTTAGCTACGTACGGTGCGAAAGAAGTTCAACACACACACATACAACGATCTCGAGGCTACACGGGCGGCCAGAATTAAAACACTGACCGCGAAACACAATGGGGGGGGGGGGGGGGGGCAGCAGCATTGTTGTGCCATTGTGTTTTGTGTGCGTGAATTTAGTTTTTTTTGTTATCCTGTACAAATTATAACGGCCCAACGCACTTTTTTTTTATTTTCAGATTTTGTTTGTTCCTTATTACCCCCCTGCCTCAATCAGCCCTCCGCTGCATCGTGTTGTTGTGGTGGAAGTGGCCCAGAAGTTCTGGATTAAATTAGCTATGTGGAGCGCCACGCTGGCTAGGAGATGTGAACTCCATCGCCTGGTGTGCAGGAGGTCGTGGGTTCGATCAAGACCCTGACGATGCCTGCTCTATATTTGGAGTTTGTGTCTCTCTCTTTAACCATCATCATGGTGGCTAGGAGATGTTAACTCCCTCGCCTGGTATGCAGGAGGTCGTTGGTTCGATCCCGACCCTGACGCCTGCTGCTCGATATTTGGAGTTTGCGTGTCTCTCTCTCTCTCTCCCCGTGGTCGGCTCTATTTTTCTCCGAGTCCTCCCGGTTTTTTTCCCTCCACATTTTTAATTAACGTCCACGCGATGATGATCATAAGCCCCACTTGGTTAAGCTATCATCTGTGGCCAGGTCGCTGCTGAAAAAGAGCTCTATAGCTCGGTGGGCTTTGCCATGGTAAAAATAAAAAAATGCAACACGCATCACTCCGTACTGCGCCACCGTTCCGGTAAGCTTTGGTCAAGCGCCTCTAGTGAAGGGTGGCGCGCACTCTCTACATAGACACGTAAAATCGGATCGGATTAACGCGATCTAAAACTGATCGGTTGCCCCGTATGACCCCCGCGACCGCTCTCCCCTCCCACGTCCGTTGGGGCATCGCAGGTGGCTCGGTGGCTCACCTGCTCAACAAGTACGGCCCCTTCAAGGAGCCCGTGCTGCTAAACTACGTCGAGCAGCTGCTGCGGGGCCTCTCCTACATCCACGAGAACCTCATCATCCACCGAGACATCAAAGGTGCCCCCCCCCCCACTACCGCCACCCCCATCACTCATCCCACCCCCCATCACTCATCCCACCATGACCTATCCCCTGTCCCCCCCACCCTCCCCCCATCACCTGGCTGCCCCCCTCACCCCCCCCCCAACACCCCCTCCCCCAACTCACCCCCTCCTCCATTTCCATCTCCCCCATCACTCATCCCCCCCCCATCCCCCATCTCCCCCCCCACCCATCCATCCACCACACCCTGCCCCACAGCTGAAACTAGGCCGCTTGGTAAGACAAACATAATTTGGTTTAATTTGTTATTTTTTTTAAGTGATTTGTTTTTCTTTCCTATACTTTGCACTCCCCTAAAGTGTTTTTTGCTGTTAGAATGTTCTGACCCCGTGCCCCCCAACAAGGAAAAGAGCTTCACTTCCTCCTCCTGCAGAATAAAATAAATATTCACATTTTGGACCCACACTTGCCGTGCTGACCCCTTGACCTGCCGCTCCCCCCCCCCCTTTGACCTACGACCCCTCCTCAACCCCCCACCTCCCCCGGCACCCCCCCCTCCTCCCGTAGGAGCCAACCTGCTGATCGACAGCACGGGCCAGCGGCTAAGGATTGCAGACTTTGGGGCTGCAGCCCGCCTCGCGTCCAAGGGGACGGGTGCCGGGGAGTTTCAGGGACAGCTGCTGGGCACCATCGCCTTCATGGCGCCAGAGGTGGCCGCCACACACTAAACTTAACTACGATTAAACTAAAGCTATTGAACTAAAGCGAAACTTTTTATTTGACCAGGTAAGGCCCCACGTTGGCACTATCACAAATGATAGCGCCATCACAAATGATAGCGCCAACGAAGTAAATTTATAGCAGCAGCCAAATCCTCTACAACGCATGATGTCGATTCCTAAATGTGGAGGGGAAAAACCGGAGGGCACGGATAAAAATCCACGCGACCACCGCGGAGAGAGAGAGACACGCAAACACCAAATATACAGCAGCAGGCATCGTCAGGGTCGGGATTGAACCCACGACCTCCTGTATACCAGGCGAGGTAGTTAACATCTCATCATGGTGAGGGAGAAAGACACGCAGACTCCAAATATACAGCAGGCATCGTCCGGGTCGGGATCGAACCCACGACCTCCTGATTACCAGGCGAGGTAGTCAACATCTCACCATGGTGAGGGAGAGAAATACAGACACGCAAACTCCAAATGTACAGCAGCAGGCATCGTCAGGGTTGGGATCGAACCCACGATCTCCTGACTACCAGGCGGGGTAGTTAACATCTCAGAGCCACCCTCGCACTGCCACAGGGGGGCGCTGAAACAACAAACTGGACGGGCTGGTGGCCGCACGTTTCCCTGTCTGCGCCGCTGCTAAGCGATTCAAACGAATTTTTTTTATATTTTTATTTGCCTACGTACCATATACTTAACTTCTTTTGCACCGTACCATCATCAACCGCGCTAATCGGAGGTGCAGGGGGGGGGAATAACAAAACAAAAGGAAGACAGTGGGGTGCATGCATTATGTACGTTGGTCACCCTGTGAATAATAACCCAACCGTTAATGGATATCCATTGTCATTTGTAGGCGTACATTACCCAGCTCCCCCCTGGCCTTCACACCTAATTGGTTCACGAGTGACGACATCACGTTAGTCCCCCCCCCCCCCCGTCCATTTAAGAACGAAACAAGAGGAGGATTTATCCACATCTCTGGCCGTCGCCTGATGCTGCTGCCCATTCGAAACGTCACACCAACTCGAATTGTAAATGCTGCGGTGGCTTTGCTCTCCGGCAAAGAAAAGAACTTCTACATGCCTACTTTGTTTTGTGCCCCCTCCACTGCTCTGCCCCACCGCCACCACCGTGCAGGTGCTGCGTGGGCAGCAGTACGGGCGCAGCTGCGACGTGTGGAGCGTGGGCTGCGTCGTCATCGAGATGTCGGGAGCCAAGCCTCCTTGGAATGCCGAGAAGCACTCCAACCACCTGGCTCTCATCTTCAAGGTGAGGGGGTGGGCAGGGGAGTGAGGGAGGGTGGGAGCCAGCCCCCCCCCCCCCCTCCGCAAGTTGCGTACACAAAGACAAAGATCCCCCCCCCCCTCACTCTGTGTATAGCCTTGACCAGACTGTTGGGGCAAGTGCTGTTAGCGAGCAGCACCTGTTGAAGGCCGGCCACGGCACACGCGAGGGGGTGGGTGGGTAGCCGGCACCACTGCCTTGGTTCCTCACCCCAGTGGCGATGTTTACTATGCACCGCACCGGGTACTCATTTGAGGCCGAGTCGACCTAGGGGAGGCCCAGGACCGGTTCAAATAATCGTCACCGGCGTAGGTGGTGGGGGCGTGGGGTTGGTAGCTGCGCCGCCGCTAACCACAGCGCCGCCGCCGCCCCCCTCCTTTTACCCCACCGCAGATCGCGAGCGCATCCACGCCGCCCGCCATCCCGGCCCACCTGTCTCCCGGCCTGCGCGACATCGCGCTGCGCTGCCTGGAAATCCAGCCGCTGGACCGGCCGCCCACTCGGGAGCTGCTCAAGCACCCGGTCTTCCGGACGTGGTGACCGCTCACCACCAGCTCCACCAAACTCACTCAAGCACCTAGTCTCTGCTGGACGTGGTGACCACTCACCACCACCACCACCCTCTCACTCAAGCACTTGGATGTGGAGACCGCCCACCACCACCACCCTCACTCAAGCACCTGGTCTCTTCTAGACGTGGTGACCCACCACCACCCTCACTCAAGCACCTGGTTTCTTATGGACGTGGTGACCGCTCACCACCAGCTCCACCAAACTCACTCAAGCACCCGGTCTTCCGGACGTGGTGACTGCTCACGAGCACCACCACCCTCACTCAAGCACCTGGTCTCTTCTGGACGTGGTGGCCGCCCACCACCACCACCCTCACTCAAGCACCTGGTCTCTTCTGACCGCTCACCACCACCACCACCCTCACTCAAGCACTCAGTCAGGCAAGAGGGGGGAGGGCGGTGCCCACCGTTCACCTTTGACTCCCCACCCTGCCTGCCCAGCGGTCCCGCTTGCTTGGCTGCCTGCCCGTCTCGGATGCAGGAGCCAGTGGCTTTCCCAGTACGCTACCTCACACATCTTCTCTCTGGCGGTCTCGCTCTCTTTCGTCGTCATTCCATCGGTGAGCGATCCGTGTTTTTAGTGTCCTGTGAAGAGAGAAAAAAAAACGTCTTGTCAATGTTCGATTTGTCCTTTTAAAAAAAGATGCTTTGCCCATTCATGTTGACGTCGGTTTGCCAGCGTTTTGTTTCACTCTGGAGGACACGGGAACGATGCCCAGCTGATCTGAGAGAACAGCTGTGGGTCGTTCAGGCCTGAGTTTTTTTTATTTGCCTGATGACACCGGGCCGGGGAGGGGGGTCGGAGGCGTCTTGACAAACATGAAAAAAAAAGATGCGTCGTGTTAATTTTCCATGTTTTTTTAGCCGCGACCTCAATCGAACTTTGTAAATTCTAAGAAAACTAAACGAGGAGGGGTACCTTTTTTTCCCCACCTCGTCACGGTCGCTTCCCTGGCGCAGCGTGAGATGGAGAGGGGGGAGGGGGGGGGAAAACAAATCGTTTAATATTTTGGAGAAACTCTGCGCGGCTGCCGAAAGCGATTTCTTTTTAAACGAGTGTTTGCCCGTAGTTTTATCGGAGGCGTGCCTTGACCTCGACGAACTCCGTCTCAGCCCTCGCGAGGCGATCCACCAACCCTCGCTGCCACCTCCACGGGTGCCCGGGTCACAGGCAGCAACGTGCAGGGCTTCACAGATACACCCCCCCCTCCCTCCCCGATTCACCTTCGCCGTTCTTTCTGTGAATCCATTCCGCCGTTGGCTCCGGGGAACCGTCGTCAGGAAGGGATCGGGTCATTGATCAGCTTTGCACCTTTGCAGTCATAATATCTTTTTTATTACAAAATATTGTATTTATACTGCAGGAGGAATCCGATGAGCTATGAAGCTCTTTTTGTGACAGATGCCCGGTTACAGGGGGCACGGGGTAAGAGCGTCACAACAGCAAACAGTACAAGGGATGCAAATCATCCAAACACGTACAAACACAACGCTAAACCATCCCCATCCTACCAGGGAAAGCCCACTGAGGTATTAACTTCATTTTCAGAAGCGACCCAGCCATCGCAAATGATAGTCACTCAACAAAGTGGCCCATCGTTTGGACATTTATAGCACCTACGTTGAAGAGAGAGAGAGAGAGACAGCAATGTTGCAGAGGTTCCCGTCGGCGATAATTTTTTTCATTCTAGAGACGGGGGGGGGGGGGTCCACCTCCAACCTCTGGAGCCTTTTCAGGGCGAGCGAGAGTCTCTTTGTGCGTGGCTCTATGCTGTTGGGGGGGCCAGACCCCACGGCGTTGGTGTTTGTAAAGTGCATTTTATATATATACACACACACACACAAACACACGATTGAACCACTTTTTTAAAGCTTCCCCTGTATTAAGAAAAGGGCTAGAATTTAAATCTATGCAATTGCGCGAATGGACTTCACCCTCCTCAAGCAATAGTGACGAACCCTTAACTGTCGAGAGAGCAATGTCTTTTCTCCATCACGAGCGTTTGTCAGGGGATCCTCAAGCGGGAGGAGGGCCACGACCGAGATCTGCGAGACCTTTGCTCGAGGTTCTTTCGCGGCCAGTCGCTGTAAAACTTTACGGGTTGGGCCAGGATTTGGCTAATGTTCACCGGATGATTAAACCAGCAGGGGGGAGCTGAGGTTTGTCAGCGACGCCCCAAACGAGCGCCAATTATTTTCCGAGCAAGGGAGGCAACAAAACCCCGGTCGGCTTCCACGGAACGTCCGTCACCGTGAGCGTCCGGCGCTCGCTCCGGATCTTTGGTGGCCACTTGAAGTGTCTCCAGGAAGCGCTCCAGATCCTTGGTGGTCACGTGAAGTGTCTTGAAGCGCTCCGGATCCTTGGTGGTCACGTGAAGTGTCATGAAGCGCTCCGGATCCTTGGTGGTCACGTGAAGTGTCTCCAGGAAGCTCTCCGGATCCTTGGTGGTCACGTGAAGTGTCTTGAAGCTCTCCAGATCCTTGGTGGTCACGTGAAGTGTCTTGAAGCTCTCCAGATCCTTGGTGGTCACGTGAAGTGTCTCCAGGAAGCGCTCCGGATCCTTGGTGGCCACGTGAAGTGTCTTGAAGCGCTCCGGATCCTTGGTGGTCACGTGAAGTGTCTCCAGGAAGCTCTCCAGATCCTTGGTGGTCACGTGAAGTGTCTTGAAGCGCTACGGATCCTTGGTGGTCACGTGAAGTGTCTTGAAGCGCTCCGGATCCTTGGTGGTCACGTGAAGTGTCTCCAGAAAGCGCTCCAGATCCTTGGTGGTCACGTGAAGTGTCTTGAAGCTCTCCGGATCCTTGGTGGTCACGTGAAGTGTCTCCAGGAAGCGCTCCGGATCCTTGGTGGCCACGTGAAGTGTCTTGAAGCGCTCCGGATCCTTGGTGGTCACGTGAAGTGTCTCCAGGAAGCGCTCCGGATCCTTGGTGGTCACGTGAAGTGTCTTGAAGCTCTCCGGATCCTTGGTGGTCACGTGAAGTGTCTCCAGGAAGCGCTCCGGGTCCTTGGTGGTCACGTGAAGTGTCTTGAAGCGCTCTGGATTCTTGGTGGTCACGTGAAGTGTCTTGAAGCGCTCGGGATCCTTGGTGGTCACGTGAAGTGTCTTGAAGCGCTCCGGATCCTTGGTGGTCACGTGAAGTGTCTCCAGGAAGCGCTCCGGATCCTTGGTGGTCACGTGAAGTGTCTTGAAGCTCTCCGGATCCTTGGTAGTCACGTGAAGTGTCTCCAGGAAGCGCTCCGGGTCCTTGGTGGTCACGTGAAGTGTCTTGAAGCGCTCGGTATCCTTGGTGGTCACGTGAAGTGTCTTGAAGCGCTCCGGATCCTCGGTGGTCACGTGAAGTGTCTTGAAGCGCTCCGGATCCTTGGTGGCCACGTGAAGTGTCTTGAAGCTTATTCTTAGGTTTTTTCGGTAAAGTCGCGTAGGTAAAAACATTAAAAAGTAAAATAAAATAAAAATCACGACGTTTCGGAGGCAACACAAGCTTCCGTCTTCAGGTGGTACCGTCCAGGATACTGTAAGTCAGGAACGACATCCTGGAGTCTACAAATTGAGTTGCATTTGTGGTGATTGCTACATTGGAGAAACGAAACGTCATGTTTCTGATCGTGTCCGCGAGCACAAGTCAGATCTGAAACACGGCAGAACTGATTCTTCGGCCGTTGCCGATCATTGCTACAACTCGGTGGGCTCTCATAAAATTGTATTTTCCGAGACCAAGGTTCTCTGCAAACCCTGGCTACCATCAAAGGTTTGTACACGAAGCCATACAAATATACAAACACAGACATAATTTCAACCGTGATGACGGTTACAAACTGAGTAATCATTGGAAAGATGTGATTAACCATGCAAAAAAGATTTAACTACTACTTATTTGCCAATCTTATTTGACAGACAACCATTACAGTTTTACCATGTTTAGTGGTGGTCTCCCTGTCACAGGTTGAGTCACAAACCGCACCTCTCCATAACAAAGGCTCAGGGCTCAGCCTTTGTTATGCAGTCTATTCTTAGTCTCAAGCCTCACGTTACCATATTAATAATAAGTATGCGGCCCTTGCCCCACCACCTTCTCCAACCGTTATATAAACGGAGGGGTAGCTCCTGCAATCTCTCATTTACTTGATACAGCTGTCGTGGCTGTGACGGTACCACCTGAAGACGGAAGCTTGTGTTGCCTCCGAAACGTCGTGATTTTTATTTTATTTTACTTTTTAATGTTTTTACCTACGTGACTTTACCGAAAAAACCTAAGAATATGAATCATTGCAGTCACGAAAGCTTCAAATCTAGAATGTCTTGAAGCTCTCCAGGATCCTTGGTGGACCACGTGAAGTGTCTTGAAGCGCTCCGGATCTTTGGTGATCACCTGGGGTGTCTCCAGGAAACAGTCCGGGCGAGAGACGTTCTATTTAAGCGTCGTGGCGATGTACGCCCGGGCCGCCACCGAACATTGCTCTGCCCCTCTGTTCCACATCGAAGCACTTTTGAAAATCGTCGTCTTCTCAGCGTTGCTGTCGTTTGTGTCGCGGTCCATTGTGTTTGTCCGCGATACCCGCTGGCGCTGCTGTCACCGCCGCCGGCACCGCCGCCGCCATCTTGGCGGGTCGGATATTTCGAGTCCCCAAATTCGAGCGGAGGTATGCCCAGGTGGAGCGGCCTCCGGCGATGTTGAGAGAGAGAAAAGAAAATGCTTTAATTCACGTCGCCTCGCGGCTCCCCAACCGAGCGGCCCGTTGTTTCGTCTCTCGGCTCCACGTTCGCCCCACCCCCCAATCCAAACTTACGCGACGAGAGAGACGGGACAGCGAGCGGCGCAGCGCTTCTAGGCTAGCGGCGTGGAGATATAGTTCGCATTATACAGGTTTTTTTTGGGTTTGATCCCTGTAAATATAAATGTGTCGTAATAGGTTTTTACCCTTTCAACTGGTACAAAAACTGACACCTTTATACAAGGCATCATGTTGGCAATAACCACAACACAAGCAGTCAAAATGCAAACAAAAAGAAACAACTCTGATAATGATGTGGACTGTCCTTGAAGTTGATTGGTCCACACCCGAGACAGCTTTTCTTAGAGCCTAGTCTCCATTGGCGTTGGACCAGATGTACCAGTTGAAAGGGTAAAAACCAATTACTATATTTTGCCACTGGTAAAGGAGATGTCTCATAGAGTATAAATGTGTCGTTAAACCCGCCACCACCCGACACGGCCAATTGGTAAGGTTTGGCACGTGACCAGAACGTGCCAACTCGTTACTAGTGCAGCACACCGGTGTGTGTGTGTGTGTGTTGGGTTTAACGACACATTTACATCTTTGATTTGAAGCTTTCGTGACCGCGGGAATCCATACTCTTTGGTTCTTTCGGTAAAGTCACGTAGGTAGAAAATATGAAATAAATTAAACAAATCACGACGTTTCGATAGCAACACGAGCAATACTTCAGCATTTTTTTCTTGCTGTGGTTGTTCCACTTGTGTTGCGATCGAAACGTCGTGATTTGTTTTATTTTATTTCTACCTCCGTGACTTTACCGAAAGAACCAAAGCGTACATTTATATTTACGCGATTTAACCCCAAAAAAAACCGACGTTGTGGATGATCTAGTTTGCACTCTTCTCCGCACGCCGCGTGCGTCTGTTGTCACATTTTTATCGAAATGGTTTTGAGTTTCGCGCCCTTTGGTGTCGTCTTTGCTTTTCTCCGCTGTTTCGTCCGCCGATTATTATCGCGGTCGGCGGTGTCGTCGTCACGATGACCACGATCGCAGCGTCCGGCGTTTTGTTTGTTTCACGAACCGCCTCGTCGACGCTGCCACAAATCGATGACAAAAGAAGCAAATCATCGGGAACCCAAAACTCGCGAACCCCCCCCCCCGCCCCCCCCTTCTGTCTTAAATTCTCCGCTAACGCGGTTTAAGGTTCGCAAGAATGGTTTTTAGCGTTTTCGTTTTTCTTTCCACCGAGTGTTTAACGTGTCGTTGACCCCCCCCCCCCTCCATGCCAAGCGTGGGGAGGTGCGGGCGGGGGGGGGGGAGCCAGGCCCCCCCCCCCATCTCTGTGCTGCGCGTCTCTGAAGCTACCTCGCAGTTGTCGCGCTCCAGTTTGTTGCCAAAGTTCTCTCCGGATATTCCCACGCCCCCCCCCCCCCCCCCCCCATTGCCCCCCCTGCCCCCCTGTCTCTCACCCCCCCCCCCTCCATTTCTACCCTCCCATCTCTCACACCCCCATTTCTACCCCCCCCCATCTCTCAACCCCCCCTTTTCTAACCCCCCATCTCTAACCCCCCCTTGCCCCCCCCCATCTCTCACCCCCCCCCCCCCATTTCTACCCCCCCATCTCTACCCCCCCCCCATCTCTCACCTCCCCCCCTCATTTCTTTCCCCCCCCCCCCCCATTTCTCCCCCCTCATTCCCTCCCCCCTCATTCCCACCCCCCCACCCTTCGCACCCCCCCACCCACAACTTCCATCACGTGCTGATCGTCGCCAGTGACGTCACAGTAGCCGTCGACGCTTCTGTCCCCACCCCCTTTGACCGTGACGTCATTAACCCCTCCTCTATTCACGCGCGCGCCCTCGATTTATATATAAAAACCGCCTCGGTGGTTGTCGTGTTTTATACAGCGTATATACTGTATATTATTATATATTATAAGACAAAAAAAAATTGTTACTTTTTGCAATCGGTTGTCTCCCTATGCTAAGAGAGTACAAAGTCATTTTTAAACAAAATATTCCGTAAATGTCCTTTTTACAGATTTGTATACTCTTAAAAAAATTAAGTGAACACACCCGCCACACATACACACACCAACACACCTTGTTCCACCTGTGACTTTGTAATAAAAAAAATATATAAACATCGAGACGATATGAGACATCTCCTTTACCAGTGGCAAAATATAGTAATAGGTTTTTACCCTTTCAACTGGTACAAAAACGGATACCTTTATACAAGGGATCATGTTTGCAATAACCACAACACAAGCAGTCATGATCCCTTGTATAAAGGTATCAGTGTTTGTACCAGTTGAAAGGGTAAAAACCTATTACCATCGAGACTATGTTCGGTTTGTTCCGATTGGATGGCCTGGCAGGCCAGCAGCAGCAGCGAACGCCACATTATCCATAAGTTTGTTTTTTGGCAGTGAGTTTATAAGTTGGCCTAAGTGTAGTGGGTTCGAATTAGGTGCACACACACACAGCTTGGAGGCAACACTATGTATTAAACGGTAAGTACTATAACACTGTACATGAGGTGGTGACCACCTTCCTCAACTCACTAACACTCTGGAACACGACACAGAGTGGACCAGGCAGGCTGCGGGGCTGCCTGGTCCAAGACGACAACCCGGGACTTGAGGACCGATGATGTCGTCTTCACTTCGGCTACCCGTGTAGCCGTTTGCGACCCTGGTGCGGCCGGGTACGGGTAGGCCGCGAGTCACTGGTGAGTAACCGTTTGTCACTCATTTCGGGTAGGGAACGGGTACGGGTACCCATTTGCGACCCTGGTGCGGCCGAGTACGGGTAAGGAATCAAAACCCGTTTGCGACCTTTGCAGCAGCGGCGGCTTTCGGCTCCGGACGTCGAACGAAGGCGGTGGCCACCGCTCTCGGATGCGCTTCTCTGCGGCCGTCTGGAACGCTCTCTTCGTTCCACAACCAATATTAGTCGTGATGACCTGGGCGCAGGCCACGGGGCCGGCCCAGGCAGGAGAACGCTGGCGAGAGTCCGTGTATAGTAATGTATAGCATCGTGTATAGTGTAGTGTATAGTAATGTATAGTGTAGTGTGTAGTAGTGTAGTTTATAATGTAGTGTGTAGTATAGTGTATAATAGTGTAGTGTGTAGTAGTGTATAGTAATGTATATAGTATAGTGTGTAGTAGTGTGTATAGTATAGTGGCGTGTATAGTAGGGTATAGTGGTGTGTAATGTATAGTATAGTGTGTAGTAGTGTATAGTAATGTATAGTATAGTGTATAGTATAGTGCCGTGTATAGTAGTGTATAGTAGCGTAGTGTATAGTGTAGTGTCGTGCTGGAGTCAGTCGACAGGGAAATGGAGGTGTGGAGCGCCACCGCGACGCTCAGCAGGACGAGCGGACGGTGAGAGGTTTTAGTTTTCTTGGGGGGGGAGCGGGTTTAGATCGCGTAGCGAGAAGTTTGCGTTGGCGATACATTTGCAAACGCCACCACCATTGTGACGACCGCCACCACCAGCGTCACTTAACCTTAAGAAGCCTCGGGAAGAAACGTAAATGACGTGAAATTCGGTTTAACGGGGCGGGCGAAGTCTGTGTGTGTGTGCAGCCACCACCACTTTCAAAATTGCTGTCTTGTCTCCAATTGAACCGACGGCAGATCGGACCCCCCCCCCACCCCCCGTCGCTCTCCCCTCGTCCCAGCCCCCACCCGACCGACCGTGG